TTAAGCAGCGTTGGGCCTGGTTAGTACTTGGATCGGAGACGGCCTGGGAATCCCAGGTGCCGTAAGCATCTCCTGCTTTTATTTTTCCGAACGCTCGAATTTTTTGGAAACAAAGAGCCTGCATTTTCTGTGTGCATCTTATGCTAATCGACAAGAGGCGTGTTGCAGTGGTGGAGAATTTTTTGCGGGAGCAGAGAAGTACGAAAGCGCGGCTGAGAGGGGAAGCTGGCAACAACTTAGCACTGCATTATGCAGACCCAGAAGTGCATCCTGGAAGCTGAGGTAATTTATGTTTCACTCTGGCAGTTTGAAATTCGAGGCTTACCACGTTGAAGACTGAGTCAACCACTTCTTTACAGGTTAGCGTTCCATTCTGTAATCCCTGCTGCAATCTTTCGAACGTTTCATCGGGAGTTTCATTCACCGAATGAATGACTGTTGTGTTTTCCACCTGGCCCAGTGACAGCTTATGCCTCTTCTCCTCCTCATTATCCGTCTTCTCGGAAGCTGAATCGGCCTGAAACTCTACCCCATAGTAAAATGATGAGTCTGTCAAGAAATCTTGAAAAGGCTACTCTCCGAGCGACAAAACAATATCAGTTAACCAACAAGACGATTCGATCTCATACAAAAAACTGCTAAGCATAAAAGCGGTAAGTGTAAATCTGGATTTCCCGCAACAATAGAGATCGAGAGAATTCTTTTATTAGTGAACCGTTTCTGGTGGTTCCTGTGCAAAAAATTGTTGTTCTTCTCGAACCACTGTCTTTCGAATAATTTACAGCTTCTCTGTTCAACTTGTTGCATCATCTACAATGCTTGTACGGTCCATCACCTCGCCCATCGTCTATCCATGTACATCTTTCCTATCTACTGGGAGGGATATGCTCGGAATTGATTGCATAGGGACTTCCAATGGAACTGGGCGGAACAACCTGAGAGACAAAAGAAGTCAGTCAGAATGTAACTAATTTTATAAACAAAAAATAAATTTCGTTGCCTTACTGTACAATAATCTCCGGACATTCAAAAAATAACACATAAAGCATAGGGAAAAACAAAATTAGTTACCTCATCCAACTGACTTCTGCCAACAAGACTCATTTCCTCAACGAGAACACCATTGGTACCAGTTGCGGGTTCTTTGTCATAAATATCAGCACGGGCGGTGGCATCTTCCGAGCAGGCATCAACAGCGAAATCACTGGCGGCAGCTGCTGAAGAGATGCTTCCTTCGTCCAATCGCACATCCTCCATTTCACCCTC